ATTTCATAGTTAAGATCATAAGAAACTTTCAGCTATATAAACATTACCATATCGAGGTTTTACTTTAAAATGCTCCAGAAAAAGAAAAAAAAGGTGAGAGGAAGCAGACGGATAGAAGAACCGAAATTGACAAGAAACGATAAATGCCCAGCTGACTGACAGATATATGGGGCTCTTTCTGCTCATGGGTATGTGTAAAATTTTTATAATACAAACTTTAAAAAGAATGTCACCATTAAATGCCTCTGGTTATAGTTCTGTTTTTTACATTCCAAATAAAAACATGAAAATAATAGTCTTACTTTTGAGTGATTCGAATCCTTCTCTTTTTGACTATCAGGTCCTTCGTAGGTATTTTCCATCAAAAGCTTCTTTAGCTTCTTTAATTTAGGTCTGCATCTTCTTAATTCCCAATAATTATTAGAAAAACCAAAGATCTAGAAATTATAAATATATCATATCCTTTGAGGGGGCATTCTAAAAAGAAAATACCATACAAAATGTCAAACAAGGCATCTGTCCTCAACAAACAGCAAGAAAAGGGAGCCAAGGTATTCTGCTTTCTGTCGAGAAGGCACCCATCTAGCCACCTCATGCACATGGATGGATACCTTCAGGAAATGTTTTTCAAACCCCAGTTCAGAAGACACTGCCAACAAAGTACTGATAATGGAGTTCTATCTCACAAATACACCCTGGGAGCTTGAGTATGTCCAGAACAGAATGGCCAGGATGGTGACAGTTCTGCAAACCAGGTGGGAACAACAGAAAATGAATATTTTTAGGATGGAAAACAGAAAACAAAGAAAATACATAATCACAAACTTCAAATAATGAAGGGGTCTTAAAAGGAAGAGGGAGCACCCTTCTGTGTTGCTCATGATATCAAAATTAAGCAGACCTTAAGGAAGAGACTTCTTTTCAGTGCAAGACCTTCCTACAATTTAGAATTGCAGCTAATTCCTTATTGGACTTGTGAAACAGTGAGAGGACTACCACTCATAGAAATCCAGTTGATAGTGACTAAATGAAAATAAATATCTGTTCTCTATCTCCAGAACCTGCCCAGGTCTAGCATTTAGTAGGTGCCCATTAAGTGTTCCACATGAAAGAAAACCCCAACTCTAACATGGAAGATTGGAGGATGCTTCTATCTCCAACCAGTGTAAGGCGAAATTGACAAGGCCCGATGCTTGATGGGAGATGCTGCTGAATCTAAGACCTGCAAAGGGGTAACTTAAGGACCAAACCAGAAAGATCGACTTCATCCACAGTTCGCAAACTGGCAGCCTCCTGGCTGTATCCAAATGACAATTGTTGTGTGCTTTTGTGTTTGAGAGAAGGAAGGTTTAGTACAGGGTTGAAATTAATCACCAACATTGAAAAACTGGAGATTTTTCCCAACCAAAAGCTAGATATTAAGCTTTTCTTGGAAAAAAGAAACCAAAAGATCTGGCAATACTGCCCTGCTTTCCTTTAAGGCCAAGGAGTGGACACCCACCTACTTAGGACTTATGCTCTCCAATTTTCCATAGGCTCCACAATTCCCTGTTCCTCCTGAGACTGGGTCTCCACTACCATTTATCAATGCCAGCCTGCTTTGCTCATGCACAGGCCTTACTTAGCCCTTTCAGGCATGGGAACTGCAACCAAAGACTAAAACTTTGGTTAATAAATCTTTGTTAAGCTGTATTCAGCCTCAGTACACGGAACTCCCAAAACAAGGGCCTCAAAGGTACTCACAGATGTTATTATACCCTCACAAAAACACCTACAAAATAGATACATGATTAGAAAGTAACACCTTTTACAAAAGGATGAACCGCCAACATTTCTAGCTATTTACAGTGAAAGACATAACCCTACAAAAATTGAAATAACAGTATTTACTGGAAGTTATTCTGTTCTAGCCATAACATATAAGTCACTGAAATTTCCCATTATTTTCTCTTATTTCTATTACAATTCTATTGTTAAGGAGGTAGCTGGCCAGAGGTCATTCTGACAGAATTAAGGGCTATGCTTTGATTGTTATATGTGTGACAATATGTGTGTACCAATCCAGCCAGGGTGGAGACTTTTGTTTGCTATCTGCCATCAGTAGTCTCCGTAACAATTAAGATTTGTTATACACGGTCACAGAGTACAGTGAACTAAACCAGCTTCAAAAGTAAGGAACACACTTCCCTTAAGAACTCAGATTTTTTGCATCTCTCTACCTCATAAATATTACCTAATGCACTAGTTAGTTTGTGGGACTCTCCTTTCAAAACACATTCACAGCCAACACTTTCTAAAAACTAGGTAAAACTTTTAGAATATGTCACTTAATAGGAAACTTTCCACAATTACATAAAATAGCCAACTTGTCAGGGATTTAAAGTCAAACTGGGAAAATAAAGACAACTTCACAAGATTCCAAACATACAAAAAAATAGTAATGCTGAGAAATTTCAAATTTTACTAGAGAACTTTTCAGATTCCCTGTGATTATACATTTCATACCTAAATATATGAAAACTATTTCCTTAAAAATATAATTATAATAGAAATAAGAGAAAATAATGGGAAATTTCAGTGACTCATGTTGCTAGAACAGAAAAATTTTCAGTAAATATCATATTTCAGTTTTTATAGGGTTATGTCTTTCATTGTAAGTAACTAGAAATGTTGGCAGTTCATACTTTTGTAAAAGGTGTTTTTTTCTCATCATGTACCTATTTTGTAGGTGTTTTTGTGAGGGTATATTTTTAATTAAAGGCAGAGTTAGTATATGTATTATTGTTCTCAGACTTCTCTAAATCAGGAGACAGAAAACAGTACCTCAGTGTGAATAATGTTACACTGTGTTTCCTCCATCTTCAGCTGGTCTGCAGTTTTACAACCAGGAATCAAGAGCAACATATTGGAAGTGTCTGCTATTTTCAAGTCATATGTTTTGTCTTTACTGCACAGCACAGCCTGCTCATCTTTATCACCACGAATCACAAAACTGCAGAAAAATGGGAAAAAATAAAAATTGGTTTATTGAGACATGAAGGGGCATCTTCATCATAAACAGTTCCAAAATCCTCTAGGCTTGTACAATTTAAAACTAAATCTTGAGGCTGTGTCTGGCCCCTGCTCTCACAGCCCTTTTGCACAGCAATGGGCTGCAGAGAGCAAGGTCTGGGACAACTGAGAGAACCAGACGGGCACCAGCCTTACTACAGAAAAATAACTCAACGTGGGCAAGAAGGATCCAAAGAGACCAAGAAGCCAAATGTGAGCACATGGCATCTTCTTGCAAACTGCTGGGAAAGGCACAGGACAAAGCATCCAGAAGCTTCAGTGAAGATGTTACAATTTTCTAAAACATGTTAAAGCAGTACCTAAACTTGTGGGTAGGCAACTTAGGATATCTTGTTAAAAAGCGGATTGGGATTCGGTAGTTCAAGATGGGACCTAGGACTCTGCATTTCTAACAATGAAAATAACCTAGATGATGACCATGCTGTGGGTCCTGGTGCCCACATAAGAGTGAGCCTTCTGGCTTTGTTCTGAGTATCCCCTAATAATCAAAGGAGCACATCCTGTCCTAACCATCAGCTATGTTGCAAAGAAACTGGGACCTTGTGAAATGAAGGTTGCTGAATGAAATGCTGGATGAAAATATGAAAAGGGTATGTTTACAAAAGGGACTAAATGAAGTCTCTGGCAAAGGATGACAGGTGGAAAAAAGCGAGAAGAAAGAAGAGGGGAAGAATAAAGTGAGGAGCAGGAAAAAGAAAGACTACAGACATAGATGGTGGGGATGACAAGGGATTAGCTCTAGCAGTTTTCCTTGTCTACAAAGCATTTAACACCCCCACGCACAATTCACTTCTTTTAAAGAAATAACCTGAATAGAAGAAGGCTGTGTATTTTTTTTTTAACTAAGCCTTCATTTAGGTAAAAAATAATAAAAAGTATCTTCAGCTTCCTGGTGCTAATAATAGTCCCAAATACCCACTCTAACATTTATTTCTACATGGCACTATCTCTGCTTTGGAATTTGAAATATTTTGTTTAGAACTAACCCTCCCCCTGCGAAAAAAAAATCTTTAAACACCTGGTTCCAAGCCCTGTTGATTTTGACAACTGGATTAACTATAGCTGGACCAAGAGAAGGCCCTCACACCTTAAGTCCTTTCTCAAATTCCTGCCAACTCAGCTGGGATGAAAACCGTGAGAGAGGTTTTCCTTCAGCTTCCTGAAAGATAACTTCCTAGCTAGCATCTGGCCAGTTAACTATGACATTGTCAGACAAGTGAAGTATGAAAACTGAAAAAGAGCTGAAAGGGTTCAGTTTAAAGGAACCCACAAAAGAACAAGCTACCTAATATAATACAGTTGTTGGAGAAACGACAGTACAGAAGAGAATCAAACCAAGGCATCTAACACCTAATTTCCACAAGTTGGAAGTGCACAAAGTTGAAAGAGAGAATGACTCTCTAGACTTCTCTTCTGACTATATTTTTTAATCCATGGTCTTGCAGCAAATGTGTAGCTGACCTACAATTAGAAACAGCTTAGATCCTCACTGAGTGACCCCAGGCAAGTCTGTATTTTGAGGGCCTCCCACAATTACCAAATCTGTATATTGGCTTTCAACTTGTTCCCTCCAGTCCTACCCATGGTCTGAATAAAATAAATATAAGCAGAAGGCAAAAAGAGCTCTATAAATACTAGGTATCACCATTGGATTTTAAGGTAAATGGCAAAGTGTTCTGTGCAGTCCCTGACATCACTGTGAAGGTCTTCAAAACTTCACGGAGGTCTTATTTCCTGTCTTGTTTCGGCTGACACAGGAGTCCACGATCAGCTGGACCAGCCCTGGGTATCAGCCCAGTCCGGATACCTGGAGGGACTGGCAGTGGCGTGGGATCCCCAGGAAAAGGCAGCGCGCTGGATCAGGCCACCAGGCTGCTGCGAGCCCCCTGCTCAAATCAATGCACCTCTCTGGCCCAGCTTCCCCGTAAGAAAATAAGAAGGTGGCGGCAGAGCCCGGGCCCGGCTCACCCGTGTCCGGCCTCCAGCTGCTGGCACAGCGCGGGCTCCAGCTCCAACAGGCAGAAGTCGCCGGCGGCGGCGCCGCAGGCGCGGGGTCCGAAGCCCAGGCAGTGCACGGCGGGCAGCAGCTCGGCCGGGTCCAGCTTGGCGATCTGCAGCGTCGCGTCCACCTCCTCACGGGTCCTCCTCATGGCTGCGCGGGGTCCCGCCGCCCCGGGGGCCGCAGGGTTAGGGCAGGAGAACTAAAGCCTCGGAGCTGCAACGGACACAAATAGAAAGGACACAGTTTTCGAAAGCGCGCCCAGGCGCCCGGCGGCGTGTTTCCGGGGCGGGGCGCCGCTGGCGCGCCTCCGGAAGGTCCAAAAGCTGCTCCCCGCGCAAGTGCGCCGCGGCTGGACCACCCACGGCGTGACCGCGGGGCCTGAAGGGGAGCCATTGGTCATCCCGTTTGTGAACGAGGAAACAAGCTCCTTGCCGGTGGTGGCACAATCCGGAGTTGGTCAAGTCTGATTCCAGCCCAGTCTGTTGTGGCCCTGCAAACACCCAGCCTGGAAATATGCAAACACCTAGGATTAGAAGCAAGACCCTAACAATTGGAAAGGAGGTCTCACTTCTTTGGGTCTGGGGATCATCACATCCGGGGAGCAGTGGTTTGGATTAGATCCATCCATTACTTGAGGACCTATCTGGTCCGTGCCGAGTGACAGGTGAGGGGTTGAAACCAGTGTCAACAGGAAAGCAACTTTTCTGAGGCTGGAAGGGCCTTACACCCTCCTAGGGGAGACACAAACTTACCACAACAGAATGCATAAACTGCTCACTCAGCTTTCTCTAAGGTGTCTTCTAGACATAGTGTCTGTGTGTGTGTGAGAGAGAGAGAGAGTGTGTGTGTGTATACGTATGAGTGTATGTGTGTGATACTCGCTTTATTGTGATGGTCTGGACCAGAACGCGAAACATCTCCAAGTTATGCCTGTATTTCAGTTAATGCAAATACACACAATTATATTATTCTGGAATTAAAATTTTTTCTCTTTTCCAATCAAGTTTAAATGTTGGACATACCACCATTAAATTGTTATTCTAAAATTACTAAAACTTTCCAGCAATAGATGCAATTCTTATTAGCAATTTTTATAGCACATACTAAGTAATGTCTATGCCACAAGTCAAATTGTCAGCATTTTCATTAGAACAAAATATTGTCATTTGTTTACTTGTTACTACTATACATCAGGGATGTAATTCTCTAATGTACACTTTTATTAAATTCTACTATTTTCTCTTCCAAAACTCCCACTTCAGTAACATGTAATTACCCCATTCATACAGCTATCATAAGCAACCCACTGCCACTTTTTCCTAAACTATAATGGTAATTCTTAGGAAAACCAACAAATTATCACATGATTCATCTCAGGTTATATATACAAATTGTCTCTCTAGTAGCTGACACATAGGTAGGTAATGCAATCAGGGTGTGTGCTTCGGGGCTTTCCAAACCTAGTTTTAACAGTGACCTGAATACAAAGTTATAAGAGGAAAGCTCATCAGCATATTGAAGTTACACACATTAGTTACTTGTAAAGGCAGCATAATGTGGTAAACTCCGCCACAGACCTTTCAGCCTCACCCAGGGGTTTGGTGGTGCTTTTAGTGGTGGAAAGGTTGGTTCCTATGACCTGCTTCTTATACATCTGAATGCAAAATGAATATGGTACAGCGAAATGCTGAATATGAAGGCAATTGTTTGATGAGAATTTATGATTAGGAAAGGAATCAATCATTGTAGGTGCTCTGTTAACAAGGAAAATCCTACCACTGAAAGCAGTTCAGTGTAAGAATGCTAGCATTTACATCAGACGGGCCTGGCTGGGAATCCCAACTCAGCTCTTACTTGTTTTGTGACCTAGAGCAGTTTACTTAATTTTTTCATTCCAACTTCATTATCTGTAAAAAGGAGATAATAATGCTTACATTATAAAATATATGTGAAGCAAAGGATGTTTATAAATAGCAGGTTTTTGTTGTTTATATTTTTATTTATTAATAAGATATTATTTATTAAATAATTTACTATTGATTAATAAATGACATCAGATTTTGCTGTTCTGGAGCAGGACTAATGCTATTCTGTTCTCTCTTAAAAACAATGATAGTTTGCATTCATTTTTTTTTTATTAAGGCATCATTGATATACACCCTTATGAAGGTTTCACATGAGCAACATTGTGGTTACTACATTCCCCCCCTATTATCATGTCCTCACCACATACCCCATTGCAGTTACTGTGCATCAGCACAGTAAGATGCTGTAGAGTCACTACTTGTCATTTCTGTGCTGTACTGCCTTCCTCCTGCCCGCACTACTTTATGTGTGCTAATCATAATACCCCTTAATCCTCTTCTCCCTCCCTTCCCACCCCCACTCCCCACACCCTTTCCCTTTGGTAACAGCTAGTCCATTCTTCGGTTCTGTGAGTCTGCTGCTGTTTTGTTCCTTCAGTTTTTGCCTTGTTATACTCCACAAATGAGTGAAATCTTTTGGTACTTGTCTTTCTCCTCCTGGCTTATTTCGCCGAGCATAATACCCTCTAGCTCCATCCATGCTGTTGCAAATGATAGAATTTGTTTTCTTTTTATGGCTGAATAATATTCCATTGTGTATATGTACCACATCTTCTTTATCCATTCATCTAGTGATGGACATTTAGGTTGCTTCCATGTCTTGGCTATTGTAAATAGTGCAGCAATTCATTCATTTTTAAAAGCCTGCTAATGGATACATTTTTCTAAAGTAAAACATTTTTTACACATTTTTCTTAAATGTTTGAGGCTTGCTCAACCATTCGTCGGGTGACAGGAGAAAAGAAGAACTTTTAATTGCTAAACAAAGAGTTACAGAAAAACTTACAAAGAGCCAACCATACAAACATTGATACTGCTTTCATGGACACTATAATCTTGATTATGATATTCATGTATTGCATTTCATAGCATAAAATGGGAATTTTATTTAGTAAATCATAGTTCAGGTAAGAATTACATATGAAAACCTTTTGTCTTTTTGCGTCCTCTCTCTCTTCTTTTTTAATATCATGAAGAGCATGGTGACTTCCAAAAAAATGAATTGAAAATGTTTCATAAGCACAGCCTTGGTTTGGGTTCTCATTTCTTATTACTGTGTAATAAAAAATTACAGATTTTCCACCTTCCATCCCCTTCCCATTGCCCATCCATCTCCATACCACAGTCAGTTAAATTCCTAAACATTAAGTTCTCTAATAACATTACGCTCTGCTCAAAGATCATTACCTCTTCCTCTTTCAAAAAAGCTCTTACTCCTGCTGGCTTCTAAGATTTTTCACTCTGTGCCCACTCTGCTTTTCTGGACCCTACACCCCAAATGCTCATCACATATACTATATTCTAACCTACAGATGCTCCTGTACTTTCCTACTGCCATCTTTATCTGTGTGTATTTTCTTTTAATTTCAGCTATAATTTTAAAATTAGGATATCTGCTAACATTCTGGGTTTTTTATTTTTTTCTTTTAAATAATCAAGGTCTCTGGCAATAGGGGACTCATACTTCTGTATAGCAACAGTGAGAGGAAGCTAATGACTTCTGCATAGTTCTCTCTAGGACTGTGCCAAGCCTTGTCGATCAGGAAACTCATATTTTCCATTTCTGGAAAATTTTCTTATGTTATTTCCTTGACAATGTCCCTTCCCCATGTCCCCAAATTTTCTGCTCTATATTTCTGAAACCTAGTAGTTGGATTTTATCACATAAACATGAAAGTTTCAATATCAGGTATTTGGTTTTAGAAAGAACTTTCAGGTAGCAGTTTGGAGAATAGGTCAAAAAAAAAAAATGAGGCTTAAACCAGCTAGAGCAGACAGAATGGTATATAAATAGACACAGCCAGACCTCGTTGGCAAGGATTTGAACTGATTCTATGGAACAAGGACAAACAAAGAAGAGAGAAATAACAAATATTCAGAGAGTAGAATGGACAGACCTTGTTGACAATATGGAGAGTGAGAAGATAAGAGTTGAGGAAGATTACCAGAACTGTGGCCTGAGAAATAGGAAGAGTCCTCATTCCCTAGAAGATGCGAAAGTACCCTAGCAGATCATTGGATTATTTAAAGAAGGGAATGATATGATCAGATTTAGATTTTTAAAAGATTATTTACTAAATAATAGGTGACAAGTTGATGAGAAACAGGATCTTTACATAGTCTCAAGGTATCTACCTAAAAATTACTTTTTAATTACAAAGGGAAAACATAGTAACTTCAGAATGATAAACTTGGAGCATGTAGAAAGAGGTTAACAAGAGGACAAGACTGCTGATTGACCCTCAAGCTGGACCAAAAGCTCTTTGCTCCCTCCCCTGTTCTTTGAATGTACATTCTGCCTGTCATTCCCACAGTGGGAGCTGTTGCAAGAACATAGTTTTGAATGACTAAAGTGTTGCTGAGATCATCTGGATGGTGTATGTGACCAAACCCAGTTAAGACCTCTGTATACTTTTAAGATTCTGGCAGGTGGATGTAGAGATCTATTTATCTTGCAGCTGCCCAAGACAAGCCTCCTAAATTCCCTTGCTTATTGAACTTGCCACCTCCCAATCTGGAGTGGTCTGCCTTTTTCTTCCATCTCTCCTTGCCCTCCATGTACAAGGGCCAGTTTGTGAACCAACAGAGCATAGCACCTCAAATATGTGATCAAGGGTAACATCATCAATATTAGAACAAGCATCATATGCCTCCTGGTATGATATACTAAATTAATCCTGTCAGATCGCATAACATGTATCTAAACAGAAGGAAAACATCAGTCAACCCAAGCTGAGGGACATTCTATAAAATAACTGGCCTTTCCTCTTCAAGAATAGAAAGGTCACAAAGAACAAGAAAAGTGGAAGAACTCTTTCAGAGTAAAGGAAAGACATGATAACTGAAATGCAATATGTGATGTTAGATTAGATCCTGGACTAGGAAAAATTACTGCTATAAAATATTATTATTGATGATGCTGGGGTTCTTGTTCACGAAGCCGAAGAATGAGCTTCACAAACACTCAAGGTAGGAGAGCAAGGTACAGGCTTTTATTTAGAAATAAAGTGAGAGAACAGAGCTCCCAGCTTGCACCAGGAGGGGACAAGAGAGTCCGTTGTTGGCTCATTGTCCAGGGGTTTTATGCGTGGTTGAGGATTTTCAGGAAAGAGGGTAAAGGGTTAGGGGTACCGACTTGTTGAGTGGTCCCAGAATGCTCATTCTTGATGAGTAACAGAGGAA